ATCCGAGTGTGGGAAGTGGCTTCGTCATCCAATGACCCTAGAGACTACTGTTAAGGTTGCTACATGGACCAAGCGCTGTGTTTATTTGAATGGTGGTTTGTACATGTTATCTCACTCAAAACACCTTTTATATTTTGACCTCAATGAATTGAATGCTCATGCTACTGAACTTCCAGAGAAGGATAAAACAGATGTATGGGGTTTCATTGGTGTCTCCAGGGGCTGTTTATATTATTCAAATCATGATGGCTCAACCTTGTTTGTTTGGGCACTTCAGGTCCATCACAAAATGAGCATATGGATATTGAAGCAAACTATTCGCATAAATGATTTTGTCAAAGATTGCTACAGTGGAATATGGCGCATCGTTGAGAAACCTTCATGGTTTAAGCCATATGCATTGGATCCAAACTCTGAAGTAATTTTCATTGGGGTTAACAGAGGAGTTTTTAGGTATAATCCTGACAACAAGACATTGGAATTGGTTTATTCTGTGACTCCAGATGAAGGAATATTCACTGGTGATTGTGCTGTGTTTACATATACTCCTTGCCTGGTGAATTTGAAAGACTGCAGGCATGTTCCATATGTCTTGGGGTAAGTTGCATCATTCATCAAGATTTCACCCTCTTTTTGTAATTTTATTTTATTTTCTTTCTTGCTAGTAACATATAGGGTATATCATTGAAATTGCTGGTTCCATGATCCTGCACTAGGACTTATTTTTTATTTGCCCTTTTTTATATGAAGATGTAAGCTCTAGTTTTCAGTTGTTTTGTTTTCATATAAATGTTGCGAGTTTGGATAGTCTTATTGATTGTTAGAGAGATATAATTGTGGTTGCATTTCGAAGGTTTATATGTTTAATTGAGAAGGAAAATTCGGCTTTGCTTTCAAAATATGGTCAAGGGTGGAAACATAAATGCATAGTATGACTGCCTTTTTGTTCCTATTTTAGGTTTTTGTGGATAATGACATCATACTTTGACTACGGATTGATAACTATTGGAAAGAATGAATTTGAAAATAGAGTTGTTCATTCATAGTTGCTTTGCAGGTATTGGTTATCAATAGAAGCAGGTTCTGGCTATTTCTAATAATTTGTTGTTGCATTCTTTGTAGGTAATGGTTATGAAATGAAGCATTCACTGAAAAGCAGTTGAGTTGTTTTGCCTCTTTCTTATCAGATTCCCTGCTTCCTTCTTGTTGATTCTTTATTGTGGAAATAGTCAGATTCATGCTATCCTTGCCTTTTGGACCGATTAGCATTAAATAGCGCAGAATGGTAACGTGTAGTGACCTCGTCATTTGTTTCATATTGTCTAATTGTTGTCCTTCAAAAGGTCGATTATGTATTTTAGATTATGCTAACTTCGTACTGTTTTTATCTTTGATTTTGTCAAAGACTGCTTGAACGGAGTATGGCAATATATTGCTACTCCATGGTTTAAGCCATGTGCAATGGATCCAAATTGTGAAGTGATTTTCATTTTGATTACCAGAATATTATTATCATTTTTGTTGTATTGTAAACTGATTAGCATACTGGTTTATTCTCTGATGTCTGATCAGGGAATATTCTAGAGCCATTTACTCCTTGCTCAGTTGTGTTTACAGATTGCAGATGCATTGCAATCTGTGTTGTGTCATGTACTTACTATGCTCTAACTCATTGTTTCACTTCTTGATCATCTTTCTTGCTAGTAACTTATTAAGTAGTTTTATTTGAATGGATGATTCCATGATGCTTTACTTAGGAAGGTTTTATTTTTTAAAAATCTTGGGTTACACAATGGGAAGCAACTCTCTCCCATTCATTAACCCATCTAACCTGAGGATATCTAACTTTCACTGAAAGGAAATTACCATTGCGCTACTTAGGTGTTTTGCACTTTATTAAGGAAGTTATTTAGTTTTTTTTACGTAGTATTCAGTTTAGTCTGCTGATGTGTTTTTTAGATGTCATGGATTTTGGTTGTCTAATTATTGTTAGTTGTATAAATTTTGCTATGATCTAAATGACAGGAGCTTACCAGATCATTGATGATTTCTGTAAGCTATATGCTATCTTATTCTAGTAATGTTATTGAATTTTGAAGTTTGTTTTTTTTTTTCTCTTTTTTGGATCGGCATTGAAGTTTGAAGGTTGATTGAAATAAAATATTGTACGTGCGCAGGCTTATTTATTGATCCAATGATTTTTATGTTATGTTGATGCAACCTGTATTGATATTTTGCAATATGAGCTACCTTCATGGGCAGAAGCCAGAAGCTGTGTCAGCCCCTTAGCATGTAGTGTTGTGACATATTGACCCCTCTACCTTTTTCCGGTGGCAGGGCGCCCCCTCTACCTAACAGAAGTTACAGAACAATGCAACGCGCCCCCTTTTTGCTATTTTTTTATGTGATTGTCAACGTCATAAAATTGTTATTCATCTAATAAAGGCATTAGCCTTTTTACTCTGTTGACGCGAAAAAAATGTCAGCATTCAGTCTCCCATTCAACTCCTCCGTTAGGTAGCTGGGCAAAAAGTATTAATTCTAGTAGTTTTAATTAAATGATTCTAAGTTTAAATAATTTAATTAAACAATTAAAACTTTAGTAAAAAAAAAAAAAAAGAGGAGGAAGAAAGAAAATATGAGGGAAAAGTGGAGAAACTCGTCTTCTGAACGCGCTGCAGGTAATGCAGGGCAGATCGGTTGCTCACGCAGGCATTGGATCTTATTGAATATGCTCCCCCTTTTTCCCTTTTGATAAGCTAATTGAATATACTTGTGTTAGGGAACAACTTCCATGCCGGCTGAGTAATCAGCCTCTGTTCGAGCACAACAGTCTTTTTCTGCTTTGATGTCATTCGAAATTTGTCATGAAGTCTGTCCCTCGGTGCTGCAAACACAACCCTGCAACCAAACAATTGGTTGACATCGCTCTAGACAGTACACATGCGAGCCGTTTAATGCAGCATTAGCTTTCCATCCTCTTGAGTTTACTCACTACAAGTTTGTGCGCTTTAAACATTAGCTTCGCCATCCAATGCCCCTAGAGACTAAAGTCGATGACATAAGTTATGACCAAATTGTGCAGTGATTTTCGTTTTGATTAGTCGATCAGTATTTAGGCATAGAGTTAATGACATTTTGGAACAGCTAAATTTAATTTTTCATTTATTAACTATTACTCTCTTTTCATTTTAATCTAAAAAGTTTAATTTCTTTCAAAATCATCTATAAACTATGAAAATCATTTTAGATTCATCTATTGAATAAAATTCCGTTAGTTTTTTTAACAGAATCTCATGGCATGCTTATGTGGCATTAATTATGTGGCATATGTAGTTTTGAAAAATTGTATTCCTTTTTTTTTTTATTTGTTCATCTTAACAATATTTTGACTTTTTTAGTGAGATTTTTTTCTTCATTTTTTTAAATTTTGTAATAAGTTTATAAGTTTTAATTTTGATTAACAATTAAAAAAATATCATTTTCATTATTAGAATAAAATTATATCATTTCTTTTTTTTTTATTTAGTTCAAAAAATTAATTTTTATTTGTATTATCTCTTTT